TCTGATGATGAAAAGGAAAACGAACCAGAGGAAGAACAGGAACCAGAGGATGCAGTGGAAGACGATAGGCCTTGGGCCCCTCCAGAACTAGATCCCCAAGAAGATGAAGGAGACATGGAATTTGACTTCACGCCTAAGACCAAAGAACAAGATCCTGTAATTCCAGCCCCAAGACATAATATTCTTGAGCAGGGAAGGGAGTGCCAAAGACTGGGTCAACTCTCATTTAATAAAATAAGATACTCCGACGTACACAAAAAATTGCATGCGTCACCAGTCTTCAGTGCGCTAAAAGTAAACCCTCAATTATATCGTCAACAGACAAATCCCCTTCAGGAACAACTTTCGAAATATAATTCAACTTTGGGCACTATCCTGCAAGGCATGCTTTTACAAAGAGAAGCTTTTTCAAATGCTCTCGGTGAGATAATCAAAAAACATCCACAAACAAAAGCAGATCCTCACACAAATTTGGTTAAAGGAGAATTTAGACAAATATCAGATGATCTGGTACAATACGCGGTCGACGCGCAGAAACAATTGATCAAAGTCGAAAAATCCTTAAGCCTAAAAACGAATATGTTGCGTCACTGCTTGAGAACATTCCCCCTTCGAATACTCACCTATTCGAAGAAAATTCATTCAATGATTTTCACAAACAACATGAGCAGTTATTTCGGCCTTTTTACTCAAATAGGTCAACGTCAAACCGATTTAAAACGGAAAAGACGCACAGACCAATGCCAAAATCAACCGAAAATAGGCCCAGAACCAACACGAAAACGTCCTCGGGTGGAGAGACCTGGAGAAAACCCGCAAAGCCTTACAAAAAACGTGAGACTACAAGAGGCGTTCATAAATCATACAGGAAAGGTGACTCGTCGGGACGATCAAAACAATGACCATCAAAACTATCACTTTCAAAGGGGGCAATTAAGGAAATACATTCAAAACTGGGAGTCCCTGGGTGCCCCAGAACATATTGTAAAAATAATCAAGGGTTATCGTCTACCATTTATAAAAAAAACCTCCCCTTACATGTTTAACAAAAAAAAATATCAACATTATTTCGCACCCTGGGCATGAAAACGGAAATAAACAATATGTTGAAAGAAAAAGTACTAGAAGAATCACAATTTTCAACAGGATTTCTTTCCAAAATGCCGCCACAAACAGAACGGAAAAATACGCCCAATCTTCAATCTAAAATTATTAAACAAATTTTTGTCCCCGAAAAAGATTCGCCTAATCAGTCACCTAAAAGTCCCACAATTTCTTCAACGGGAAGATTTTATGGCAAAAATCGATATCCACCAGGCCTACTTTCATATAGCAATAAGCCCACCTCATCGAAGGTTCCTGTCCATGTTATTCGAAGAAAAACTCCTTCAAATGACATGCCTACCCTTCGGCCTGTCAACAGCTCCTTAGACCTTCGCAAAACTTTCAAACCAGTCAACTAAGAGACTTAGGTATTCGAATAATTGTCTACCTAGACGACTTTCTTTTGGCAAATCAAAATCTTGGAGAGCAAATTCAACTCACAAAAAATCTTCTCAAGCCAAGGTGCTGGGTGTTGAATTGGGAAAAATCCTCAGCAACACCGAGAAGAGAGATAGAGTTTTTAGGTCTACTGTGGAATACCAAAAAAGGCACAATATCTTTACCAAACAAAAAGAAATATGCAATAAATCAGGAGATTGTGCAAATATTAAAACTTCGGAACTGGGAAATGGCAAAAAGACTTCTTGGAAAACTCAATTTTGCCACGAAAGCGATCCCCCTCGGAAGACTCCATTCAAGATTTCTTCAAAGAGCAAGCTTTGTACTACCAGAATCATCGCCCAAAAAGCTCTTCGAGATCCCAACCCCTGCAGCGAAAGAATGTCTTTGGTGGGTAAATCACCTAAACTCAAAAGCCCCTCTCTTTCAAAAGGACCCATTCATCTTTATCACAACGGACGCATCGAACAAGGGGTGGGGAGCCCAGGTGGAAAACCACCTAATCCAGAGAACTTGGAAACCTTACCAAACACAATGGCACATAAACAGGAAGGAACTGTACGCCGTCTTTGCAACTATAAAGTTGCTCAAAAACAAAATGAAAGGCAAAGCAGTACTCCTTCAAACGGACAACCGAACGGTCATAGCCTACATTCAAAACCAGGGCGGAACGAAGTCACTCCCTCTGCTAGAGCTAGCTTCTCGTCTTTTAAAACTAACCAACAAAATAAAAATTTACTTGACAGCTCATATTCCAAGCAATTACAACAATGTAGCGGACAACTTGTCACGCCAAAAAGTCCTTCCCGATTGGCATTTATCCAATCACATAACCAAAATGATCTTTCAAAAATGGGGAATACCAGTTGTGGACCTTTTTGCAACGAACAGATCAAAAGTAGTACCCACTTACGTGTCTCGGGATGCCAAAGATCACTCAGCCCTCTTCACCGATGCATTCAGTCGAAAATGGTGTTTTCAACTGGCGTGGGCATTTCCTCCCCCAAGTCTGATTCCACGAGTTCTTCATCACCTGAACCATGCGAAAGAAATCTACATTATAATAGCACCAAAATGGGAACGCGTTTTTTGGCGGGCAGATCTGAAGGCTCGAGCGCTAGCACCTCCAATAAAAATTCGGAACTTGAATCAACACTTAACGGACATGTCAACATCCATGCCACTGAAACAGGCCCACCAGCTAAATTTGGAGGCCTGGAAAATACAGGGTGGTCAAATATCATAATTCATTGGGACAGAGAAGACGCCAAATTACTGGAAAGTTCCTGGAGAGAATCGTCCCTGAAAACCTATTCAGCTCCTTGGAAACGATGGCTAGACTGGTCTTCAAAGGAAAATGTCAGTCCTAACGATCCCTCTCCAAATCAGGTGGCTCAATATTAATCATATTTACACAGGAAAAAGAAATTGGCACCTACAACCATCAAACTTCATAAATCTGTTATCGCTACTTTTTCAAATCCCTTAAAAAGTGAGAATATTACTAACGACCCTACAGTTAAACATATATTAAAAGCAATCGAAGCCTCTAAGCCTCAACCAGGTCGAAAAGTTATTTGGCACTTAAAACAAACTTATTGATTGGATGATTAAGGAAGACATCGATGAACAAAGTGCATTTCAAGTATCACGCCGAACATCCATTATTTTCGAATCGAAGAGTACATGATTTAACGCTTTTAAAAATCGACAAAAACTCTATTGAAAGCGACAACTCAATTATACTTTGGCCCGAGTGGGGCTTCAAAACCGATAAAAGTAATTACCGACAATCAGGATGGCAACTTACAAAAAATCCTAATAAAGCTTTAGATCCAGTATTTTGGATCCAAAAACTGATCCATAACACTCAAAAAAGACGAACAGCAAGAGAAAATTTATTAAATCTATTTATAACGGTTAGAGGAAAAGTATCGCAAGCGTCCCGAAGTACCATAGGGGGATGGATTAAAACTGCTTTTAAAGAAGCAGATCTACCATTCTCCCCGGGGAATATCAGATCAGCAGTAGCGTCAGCAAGATGGAATAACAACACTCCCCTAGATGATATTCTAAAAAACGGCAACTCGCAAGGCAAACAAAACTTTTTAAAGTTTTACTACAAAGAAGTGGAAAAGTCTATCCAAAATTCCGAAGGAGATGGACTAACAAACAAAACCTTTACAGCTCTGGTTTAAAATAACTTAGCCAAAACATTCGTATAGTTATAAAAGTGTAGTAGTTTAATTTCTGTTTAAAAACTTGCTCTAAAAAATGTCCTTTTTTCTTTTGCACTGATTACGAAACTCAGTAAAATATTGTTACATACCATTGTCTATTTATTTTATGTTAATTCCCTCTCACAATACGCTATCACGTCGTCAGAAACCAAACACTTCTCATTAAGGGTCAAGCGAAGGCACAGAACTGAAATAAACACTGTTTTCCCCAGAATGGAAAAACAGTTATTTCAGATCTTGCCGTAGCTTGACCCAGGTAAGTTCTTGACGACTTACAAGAAGGTACTGACCAAAGCTCGCATCTCTGTCTCCCTACTCTGCGAAGCGCGCGGGGTTGCCGATGCGAGCGCTGAAGACGTGAAATCCGGGAAAGAATGTTAAATTTAGGGAATAAAACGATGTTTTACCATTCGAAAGGGTAGTGTAATCTCATTAAGGGTTGGTACGGCAAGATCTGAAATAACTGTTTTTTTCCATTCTGGGGAAAAACAGTGTTTATTATTTTTTTCTGTGTAAAATCGAAATAATTAGTTATTTAGAAAAAAATATTTAAATCATAAATAAATACTTGTATTAATGAAATATAAAAATGCAGTTTTTTTAAATATCCCAATTGACCTAAACCTGATGTTTTGTTTTGTTTAATTTTTAACAACTTTTTTTGCTAGATACTTAAACCTAAATTACATTGTGTTAAGAGTTTTTGGAAAAAGTACTTTGTACTTGTACTCATGAGTAGTTTTGGATTTTTTTGTACTCAAGTACATTTTTTTCAAAGTAATTGTACTTTTACTCGAGTACTTTTTTCTTGTACTCGGATCAGCTCTGATACAGGGTGATAAAAAATAAATGTTAGGGTTTAAATGCTTTAATACTTTTGTAATTGTAACTAATAAATTACAAATATGGCCGTTAAACATACGTAAATACATATTCAGTTTTAAAGGAGAGCGGTTTAAAGAAAAGTGACTATACTAAATTAAATGTCCAAAATAATATAATTTAAATTTTATTATTTCATTAAATTGCCTACGTATTTTTAACGACCATATGGTACAGAACATGATTGAGATATATTGTTGAAAAGTTTGAAAAATGTTTAAAGAGATGGACCAAAAAGTCATTTGGGTTCAAAGGGTTTAAAATCGAAAAAAAGTCAATTTAGATCCCCCTTTTAGAGGTACTTATCCAAATAATACTAAAATAATTGTTGCCTTCTTGGTAATTTTAACACTAGATACTAGGTATAATACTTACTTAAAGTTTATTATTATTTGTTCTGTTTGTCCTTGTTTTATTAATTCTATTAATTGGGACATTAATCGTATTTTTTCATCCATTGGTATTGGAGCGTCAACCAAACAATATTCCAAAATAATCGACACCACATCATTATCCCTGAGTTCACCTAAAAAAATCACATGGCAGCCTTTTAATTTAGCATTAGTTTTAATGACTTTTTTCTATTGTAGTAGAATTAATTTTATCAGCGTAATAAAATTGCAGTTTTTGTGAAATATTCTACCCAACAAGCATTTGTTATCACCTACTAAGTGATAAAAACATATTTATACATGTTTTAAAAGTTTTATAAGGATTTAATGTTAAGTTATTATTCCTATATGAGGCATAAAAATAAAGTAATGGGGCTGCTATTACATTTTTTGATTATGCCACACTGGAGGCTAAAGGAAAGGCAGTCCAACATATGATACAAATTCAATAAACAAATTAACTACATCACATGATGGTCAAAAACAGTTTTTCTTGTCATTCTAGTGTGTTAAGAAAAATGTTGAGCGGCAATGCTGTAGAAAAAAAATGGCCCTGTAAAATAGCTGGATAAATTAATTATTGGGGCAAATTGGAAATTACTTTTATTTTCAATATTTGTTTAAATTAGTATTTCAGGTTCCGCCTGGTCCTAAAGCGGAAAGCTCCAGTATAACCAGATCTTTTACTACCAGATGCTGCACCCTCTCATTCTTTTTTCAAAATTTTACCAAAATATGTTTATAATTAACATTTTCGTTTTTTTTGTTTAAATCGATTCCACGCCGTAATTAAACGATATAATATATTGGGTATTTAAGTTTTTTTAAAATTTTGTTGGACGATCAAGTATCATTAATTAATAGAAATCAAGACGCGGAGTGCAATCAGCAATAATTGTTAATATATTTGACAACCAATAAACGTAAATTGTTAAAAAATGTGTTTTCACTACAACTTAATTATCTACTGTTTTTTTTAGGTCACTTACGTTTTTAATATTTTTTTATAAAAAACGGATTTTGGTAGGGACAATCTTTAATGCCCAACAGTTTTTAGATCAAAATGTATTCAAAAGATAAAAAGTAAACATTATACATTCTTACCTAAACTTCTAAAACCATTTGACTCAGTGTCAGATACACCATTAACATTAGTAAGATGCAATGATTTAGAACCTGAATTTGAAGTTTCAAAATTTGACCTTAAATTTAGTTCCTCTATTTTTTCTTCAATGGCACATATATCATTTTTAAAATCGTTTCCAATCGACATTTGAGAAATTCCTGAGTCTTGGGATGTCGTATCTCTATCTCTATCTAATTTGGAACCCAATGTCTCATAACTGTAATTTTGAATTTCTGCAGTAGTCTTTCTAAGATTTTTGTAAATCTCTTCTTGATCCAAACCATCTTTAAGTATAGGAGAAATGACTGGTGATAAAGGTTTTGGACTGAATGCTATTAAGGGACTACTTGGTTCACTGCCGGTTGAATTTTTTCTCATATGACATTGAACAATATTTGATGCAATATCTTGTTGTTCTTTGGGTAATTCACTAAGCATTAAAATAACTTGTGGTGTGTTACAATTCCACATGGTTACCAAACACATTTTAGCAGCATGTCTTATTTCTACTGATTTTGTATCCTGAGCATATGCAATAATCTTTTGAAGGGCCTGACTTGCAGGCGGAGAGGAAATAAATGAATTTTCTTCTGCATGTTTACATATTGAAGTTAGAAAATTTAAAACTACAATTTTTACTTTACTATTAGGTGTTTGATTAGTATCAATAAGGAAGCGATAGACATTTGCAGTTAATAATTGTATCGGAAAGCTTACGCGGATAACATCTAGAGTCGACAAAAGTTTATTTTGGATTGATGTCAAAGTTTCTGTACCAATTTTAACAAAAACTCTATGCAAAAGTACATATAACCAAAAATGCAGATCGTGTTTATGAAATTTAATAAAGTCCAATACAGTTTCAAGAAACATACTAAGGCCCTTAGTATGAGAGTCCATAAACATTCTTGTAAAAATTTCAGTCAAATGTTTTAACTCGCCTGGGGTTAACCTCATTTCCGAATTTAAGTAGTTTTGTAAAGAAAGCAGACCATCTTTTCTCTCCTGCCAATTTGTACTTGCACAAAGTACAATAATTTCAGTAATATCCTAAAAACCAAATCATTTATTTAAACCAAATTTTTTATTAAAATATTCCTTTAATATTAGGTTTTTTTTTATTATTCAATTTCAAGTATTCCTTACCCGACAAGGTTCCCACGGCTCTCTATTAGAATTAGATAATCTTGATTGTGAACCACTCCATGAATATGACTACAAAAAAAATTATATTAATATTAGTATATGACACCAAAGACGCAACAAAAGATCCCGACGGCGGAATCACTATACTTGGGTCCGACGAAAATCCCAACATTATGAAAATTGCGCCGAATTATAACTATCATTTAAACAACATATACAGCGTGTTTGTCATAGCATTGCAAATTTTCAAAATTTCCATTATCCACTGACCCTGTCAAATAAATATATTCATTTATATCCTTATTGGATATAAAGAGTGAACATTTTGAAAATTCGCACTAACACCCCATAAGGTATTGAGCTCAAACCTTGTATGTATAAACGTATTTGAGACACGTCTGAATCAAATTTTAAAAAATGCCAAATGTTCGATGTCTAAATTTTGACGCATTTAGCAGATCTTAACAGGCCTTGAAAAAAAGGAAATTAAAAATTTTCCCACATGGTCAAATGGATCTTATTATGTGAAAAGTAAAAAAATTAAAAAATTCTTACGCTGTGACAAACAACCTATAAGGCTTGTCACAAAAAAATAAATTAAAATCGGTCTACGCGTTCCAAAATAATGGGGTGTTGCGGTCTTAAATCGCACACACTATAAATCTTATGTATTATGTTATAAATTTGCAAAACTGGAGTTATTTTACTTTTAAATCCGTCAATAAGAGCGCTTTTTTGTAATACATTTTTAAGGCTATTCCAGTAAAATCAGCGTATTAACTGTTCCTTATTAGATGGTATAAATAACTCATTTTTCGAAAACTGTTATTAAAAGTTGACTTTTACATTATATTTATTGAATGTGAAACAGTTTTTTGTCTATAGAACGTAAAAACGCTCGCTTAGTTACCATGGAAACCATATTAACAAAACGTCCAGCACACACTGCGACTTTTGACATAAAAACCTTTTCATAAAAACACCGGTTGCAAAAAAAATTATTCGAGCGCAAAGTGACATTGCCGCTCTCGCGAGATAGCCTCGCTCCGCTACGCTTCGCGTGTCAAACTTCTCGATCAGAGCCACTATATATAACTTTTCGCTCTTAATACACAAATAGCTATTACATCCGTTGCTATGTACGCAAAATACTTTTAAATCCGTTTCAAAATTTTCTCTTCACATTTTTGTCACTTATAAACTGTGGTATACAATTTTCGAAAAAATGTTGTTTGATATATCAATTGCGAAATTCTTTTACTTTCTCGAATGAATTTTTCACCCGCTTTCGCTCATAAAAAACGTTGCAAAAGTGGCATTTCGCAATCTAGCATCAAAAATGACTATTTTTAAGCGCTATGCGTCAATATGGTCCACTGTTTGATTCCTAAATAAATTTACAAGTCATAAATAAATTTACAAGTCATAGCTAAAATAGTTCACTTAAAACATAAAAAACAGATATAAAATATAGGAAAAACAGAATTTTTTATTTTTAAAATAAGCTTTTTAGCGTTTTGGCAGCAGTTGGTGCAGGACACCTGAATGAAAAAAAAATACTCACCTCATTGTGTCTCTTATATGAATCGAAGGACCTTTCAGAACAAACACTAGAAGTTTCCGATTCATCGGAGTGGTTATCCAATCGTAAACTTTTTCTTGGACTTCTGTATTGCTCCAATGTGGATGAGTCATTCTAAAAATAAGTGTAAAATGAGATTTAAACAAAAAATAGATTTGGTAAATGGCATGACTGGTCACATTGTTTTCGGGACCGGTCACATTGCGAATGTGATCGTCATTTATATGGACGTATATGTGATTTTTTAAATAATAGCTTGCATTCAGAGCCATGCCCTGCTGAAAAAGACGGATAATATCGGATGATTGCGGATAAAAAAACCAAGCTAGTTTTATGTCCATTTATATCTGTTTTCATCCGACATATCTGCAATTACGGGTATAAATATTATCCGCGAACATCGGGTTTTATCTATTTAGTTCTATGTCTGCTTTTATCTGGTTTCATCCGCAAATACCTGTATTTGGGTTTATATCTGCAATCGCCCGGTTTTATCTGCAAATACCTGCTTTCGTCTGTTTTTACCCGGTTTTATGCCTTCTTTCACTTCTTTGCCTGCTTCCGTCCGGTTTCTTCCACGATTATCTAATTTTATCCGGTTTCACTTACAAACATCTGCTTAATCTGATTTCACCTGCAAACATCGGCTTTTATACGCGAAGATCTACTTTTATCCGAGAACGTCTGCTTTAATCCGCAAACATCTACTTTAGTCCGCAAAAGTCTGCTTCATCCGATTTTACCTGCAAACATCTGCTTTTATCAGCGAAGATCTGCTTTTAACTGTGAATCCGCAAACTTTCTCCGCAAACATCTGCATTTATCCGCGAACGTCTGTTTAATCCGCTAACATCTGCTTTAATCCTTAAACATATGCTTTCATCCGCAAACATGTGCTTTTATCCTGCTTTCACCCGATTTCACCTGCAAACATCTGCTTTAATACGCGAAGATCTACTTTCATCCGCGAACGCCTACTTTAATCCGCATAAGTCTGCTTCATCCGATTTCACCTGCAAACATCTGCTTTTATCAGCAAAGATCTGCATTGATCTGTGAATGTCTGCTTTAATCCACAAACATCTGTTTTAATCCGCAAACATCTGCTTTAATCCGCAAACATCTACTTTAGCCCGCAAAAGTCTGCTTTATCCGATTTCACTTGCAAACATCTGCTTTTATCCGCGAAGATCTGCTTTCATCTGCGAACGTCTGCTTTAATCCGCAAACATCTGTTTTAATCCCCAAACATCTGCTTTTATCCGCAAACATCTGCTTTTATATGCAAACATCTGGTTGTATCCGCAAATATCTGCTTTTATCCGCAAACATCTGCTTTTATCCGCAAACATCTGATTTTATCCGCAAACATCTGCTTTTATCCTGCTTTCGCCCGATTTGACCTGCAAACATCTGCATTTCGGTCCTATTTCGTACGCAAACGTCTGGTTTTATTCGAGATTTCGGAATTATTTAAATAAAAACAACCTGTAAAAGTTTATTGAACTTCAATATTATTTGGTAAAATACAAATAAGGCCTTTGTTAAAAGACATAATTAAACAGTTTTTAATCATTAAGTTTACATTTAAATTAATTGGTAGAAAAAATATATGTTTAATTTAAAATACATTTAAAATTATAACATCTTCAATTTGTATGAAATTTGTTTAAAAAACACTTGATAAACCCGAAAAAATACAGATATAAACGATATGCAGTAGAGCCGGTCAAAAGCAGATGATTGCGGGGCTGCACTAACCGGATGAAATCAGGCGTTCGCAGATAAAAGCATATGTTTGCTGGTGAAACCGTATGAAAGCAGACGTTCGCGGATAAAAGCAGATGTTTGCGGGTAAAACCGGATAAAATCAAACGTTACGGATAAAAGAAGATATTCGCGGGTGATTGCAGATGTTCGCGGATGATTGCCGATGTTCGCGGATAAAAGCAGATGTTTGCGGGTAAATTGGACTAGGCAGACGTTTGCGGGTAAAATCAGATGCTCGCCGATAAAACCAGACGTTTGCAGACAAAACCCGACAAAAATGGACGAAAAAAAAATGCAGGTAATCGCGGATAAAACCAGACGTAAGCAGACGTTTGCAGGTGATCCCGGACAAATTCAGATATAAACGAAACGCAGTGGAGACGGTTAAAAACAGATAATTTCAGATGATAGCGGGGGTGCACTAACAGGACATAAAACACAACCAACCGGGTATTCGCGGATATAGCGATGCGGACAAAAGCAGATGTTATCAGATGATATTTTTACCCGCTTTTATTTGCTTTTATCCGGCTTCGACGAAGAATTTATATCCGCAATCATTTGTCATTTTCAGCAGGGTGATTAATTTTATTGAGTTATACATGGAAACGTCTTAGCAAGCACAAACATCCTTAGGACCTCCTTGGACCAGCTTTGTCTCCCAAAAGGGGATGATCCTATAAGGACGTCGGTTGACCTTTTAAGATATCCTGGAGATGTCATTTAAGGATGTCCTTTGACCCGGCTTAATATCCCAGAATGGGATGAAAATATTAATTAAATAATAATATTATTTTTATTTAGTTAATAGGTAAAATTGCCAATAATAAACATAATTTCTACAAAAAATCCTAATTAACAAAGTTATGAACAAATATAGTTGCAATACCTATTACCGCTGCTTACGCACGCTCGATAACTATGAGTATGAGTATGAGTGAGTATGAGTATGGGAACGTATGGCAAGCCCCAGATATATTGTCATCCACTGATCTCCCGGGGTTATATTACCCCCTTTCCGTTCTCCTGCGTATCCCGCCAAATCACAGCATTACCTGTGTTTGTTGGATCCGAAGTTTTTACGCCGGCTGGTAGATCCACCCTAGGAGTTCGTGGATGACAGTGTCAAAGGTTAAGGCAGCTCCCGGGATTTTTGTCAGCCGGGTCGGGCCATACGTCCAGTTTAGGAAGGGTTTTTGGAGGACATTGAACTGACCCAAAACTAAGTACAATCCGGAATCCTCCTAAACCAGGGCTTTAGTAATAACCCCATTCATTTGGTATTCCTGAATGGGGGTGGGTGGATTAGTATGCTGCTAGCGCCTTTCCTTGATGGTGCACTTCCTGACAGCCGCTTTAGAATTGTTCGCCCCCCTGTGCGTTATTGAGTCGTATCTTCCGAACCGAAGTGTTGCCGGCCGCACCCCGCCGTAATCTTGCCCTCTGACTATGTGGAAATACGTCTAACCTACTGAAATTGTCGACCCTCGAATTATTTTTTTCCCACTGTGCGTGATCCCAGTGGTTCTTAGAACGGTTTATACTTAATTTATGAACCCTAACGTCTTGGTAATCTATAGATGTAAACTTAAATAAATAAATTTCTTTAGAATGGTTTCTTTTGCTTAATGTTTATCGTAACTTGAGTGATTAATGGCTTCTTATGTTACATTCACCAGTGTTGCCATTTGTAACATAATTATCGAATTGTAACATAAATTTTTCTAAAAACAAAGCTTGAATATTATATGTAACATAACAACAATTGTAACATAATTTTCAATACAAGTATCTGGACAAAATTAACTTAATTCTATCCAGATTAATAAATTTAATTAGGCATAAAGCCTGATTTATAGATTTTCTACCTTCCTCCCGTAAAATATCAGCAATACCGTAGTGCTGTTTATAGATTCCCGTACGGTATTTATAGTTCTAAAGGTAACGGTAGAGGCAGCGATAACGGTAGCCAAGTTGGGCATTGAATATTATATGAAACAATTTATAGTTGTCAGTATACGTTATAGCGGCAAGAGCGGCAAGAGATGACCATTTTCATCGTTTCTTACCTCATCCGCGACTCCAGCCAATCACACGGCAGTTTTTAGTTGACAGCCTCGCCTTGTAAGTTTAGTGTTTATGGGAGGGGCCGCCATTACCGCTACCGCTACTTTCTGAACTATAAATCCAGCTTTATACTATTTTTAACAAATTTTATAATTTTCTAAAAATTCGATAATATTTTCAACCCTGCCTCTTTCACTTCTTTATGATTAAATTATAATAATTATTGTAACATAATTATTACAATTATTGTAACTTAATTTTCCGAAAATTCGATAATTTTATTTACCCAATTCGATAATTTCAACTTTTACATCTGGCAACACTGCTATTCACACACAACTTGTTTATGTTATTTTTGTCCTCTTGCATGTTTGGTTTATTTATTTATCTTACGCCTTTTTCGATGGTTGTTTATGATTTGTCTGCTAAGTATGAGAAAATGAGGTTGTTTGTTTAAACTTACGGAAATGTTCTTATTCTTTTTTAATTAGTTTTTGAGACAATAAAAGAATTCTTAGTATTTTCTTTTTGCAACATTGTGCACAACATTGTGCACAATGTTGCAAAAAGAAAATACTAAGAATTCTTTTATTGTCTCAAAAACTAATTAAAAAAGAATAAGAACATTTCCGTAAGTTTAAACAAACAACCTCATTTTCTCATACTTAGCAGACAAATCATAAACAACCATCGAAAAAGGCGTAAGATAAATAAATAAACCATTTCATGGAATGCTTTTATAAACATTTAGCGAATACGGTAAGACATGCAATTGGAAAAAATAACTTAGCTTGATTATTTGGAGCTGAAATTAATCCATTTCGCATGCCGCTCGCACGTGTGGTAGCCAGTAAATTTCATGGAACTGAACGTCTCTCTCACACCTTTTAACCAGGTCCAACACTTGAGGTACCACACACAATTTGCACTCTTTTGCACTTGGGACAGTTATCGCGTTTAGAATCGATTGATTTATTTGATTTTTTTTTATTTTACGGCGTTAACCAGTTATCACGTTACTACGTTTGTATCGTATACGCTGCTTAAGAGAGATCTCGATGAGCATATGCTTACACTTCAAGCGTCAAGAGCACACTGACTCGATAACTATATATACGGATAGGTTACAAATATTATTTGAAGGTGTGCGTCTAAACATTGACGTAAATACACGCTAGGGAACTTTGTTGTGAAAAAAAGCAAAAAAAAACGAAAATTGTGAAAATCCAACAAAATAACCATCAGACAGAGACTTTAATAATGTAGTAATTAGTTTT